AAACAATCGGAATATTTGCTCTTTATCAATCATACCGGATTTTAAATGATTGGCAATTTTTGTGTCGGGGTGGTGGTGGTGGACAGTGAAAAAAGATGGCGAAGAGAGTGGGAAAGAGGGGATGAAATTTAAGGAGGCAAGAGGAGCAGCCCAGACGACTCGTCCGCTCCCAGCCTAAGTCAAAGGGCCTTATGAGAAGGTTCTGAGGACACAGCAGCTTGAATCTATTCTTTCAGTGAAATACGCTTCCACCAACATGGGGCTTGGAATTCTGGGTCCACATCTGATCTGGGCTATTTCAGTTTGCCTTGGGGCTGCGTTAAAGGCTCCTTCGCTGGCAAGAAGAGAAACAAGCCCTTTGATAAAAGCAACTGCTGAAGAGGAAAATTAAGCTAAAGACACACCCACCATCTCAGTGTATGTCTTCACTTGTCTGTCTGCTCACACCCAGTCTACACCAACACAGGTGCCCAGACTAGGACGCCTGGGCTAATTTTGAAGTGAAGGCATACTCGCCAAGGACTCATTTTCCTCTTACTTGGTGAACTTAGTTTTCCAACAGGGTAATTCAGCGGTCAGAGAAAGCTTTAACAAACTCAATTCTGTTCTGTGTTCCTGGTGAGACTCTCACAGCCAGAGCTTGAGCTCTGGTAAATTAGCACAGCTTCAATGAAGCGGATACAGCCATGCTTATTTACACCAGCTGAGAATCTGACCTCTCAATGTCTAAATATTAGGATCATGATCTCCCAAGAAAGCAATTCATGAAGTCAGTAATATAGCTTTCAATGAAGCTACTATTTTTTTAAAAGTTAGCTTCCTCTGCCCCCTCCCACTGAAGAACAAACACACATTCCTGACAGCAAAAATATTTCTCTTGCATTTGCGCTTGCAATCTCATCTCCAATGTTTGCTGGCAGATTACAAGCTTCTCAAGGAGGGACCCTAGAAATGCTTACCAAATGAGAACCTTAAATTGCTTAAGAAAACAGTCCGTTGTTTCACTAATCTATGACATGAAACTGGAAAGTCCTTCTATTGCATAGTCTGGCACTCAGTAGGTTAAGCAGAACTGCAGTAAGTTATTTTTGAACAAATGTTCATTGTTAAGATGTGCAAATACATAAGGGCAATCAACAGAGGCAAGGAAACAAACAAACGTCTTGACCAAAGGAAAGGTGGATGATATTCAAAGGTGCTTCTCATAATATAGCAACTAGTAGAGCCAATGGACCAGCCTTTCATTTCACCCCCCTTTCCCATTAAACAGCCAATGGGAGCTGAGTCCGCTTGCACCAGTGCTAAATTTGACTAAAACTGAATGGTCAAGGAAAATTCTCACAGTATGGAATATATATATTAAGTGTAACTGCTTTATAAACCAGGCCAGCATCATGCTGTCCCTCACTGGCCTCCATAAACTGTCCAAGCAAAGTTAATCTTTGTCAAGAGTGTAATCTCCGCCAATTCTTATGCCTCTGTGCTAAAATCACCTGACATTACTACCCAAACGGACATTATTGCTTCTAAACTTCTCTGTCAAATGCCTTCTAATTCTTTAAAACCCCAAATTTATAGAAAGAACATAATTTTTAGTTACTAAACTAGGTTTATTCTATTAATTTCATGTATAAGTAGCACAGCAGATACTGATCATTTCAACAAATGGATTGGAATTGCTACACTGACTCTTTGGTGAAAGGGTAATTAGTGCTAATTGCTGTATTACAGGAGATGCGCCCTTTTCAAGACAGGATGAATGAGAACCATATCAATGGCAGCCGTAAGAACCAAAACAAATCCCATATGGAGCAAACGTATTTCCTGGCGGGAGAGAAGCGAAGTGTCTGGTTGCATAACCCCTTGTCCTTGGCTCCACTACTCTTCCCACAACACTATGGTGCTGATCCTGCACTGAACTCTATGCGGGTGAAGTCAGTGGGCTTTGTGTGGGTATAGGGATCCACCTGCGTGGTGCTCACTGCAGATTTAGGACCTAAAATCAGAACCGCTTACTAGAATGTAACTTCATTAAATTAGTTCTACTTCCATTAGATGAGGTGAACCTGGAACTGGCAACAATCTTGACCATTTCAAAGCTCTGTACTGGAAAGTAGATAGGGATTCCTTTTCTAATGCATGTCAAATAGAAAACTTTTTTAAAGTAGTGCAGTTTTTGCAAACTCAATCTGCTCATGAAAAATGTTATGCAGCCAATGTTTAGAAAAAATCCCCCACAGATCCATAAAGCTGAGATCTAAAGGGTGAGACTTCCGAAGTTGCCTTATCGGAATCTGATTTCAAATGGGAATTATGCACCTACATTCTCTTGGGCATCTTGGAAAATCCCAGCCTAAATAAATGATCAGATTAAGAGCCAGATTCTGTTCCGAGTTACATCGGTGTAAATCCATAGTAACTCATCTGGCTAAGAGAATTACTTCATGATTTACACGGCTGTAACTGAGAACAGAAATTGGGCCCAAGCGTTTTCTCTACTGGTAGGTACAGGGAAGTGATGAATGTGTGGGAAGATGAGAACAGGCTGCTGTTCCATTACAAATTTTGATGAGCACGAGAAATATTTCAATAATCAAAATCCTCAAACTAATCTGTAGAACATACGGTCACATGACATTTAATACTGGCAGATTTAACAATTGATCATTTACCCATTTGGCAAACTAGTTCACCCTTCTTTTTCAATCAATCATCTCAATACACTAAAGAAGGTATATTAACACAATGGAAAATAATGCAGATCAAACATTTGTCTCCTCACAAGCATGGGGGAAGGGGAGAGAACAGAATATATAAAGTCCTATCAGCTTTTCCTCATTTCACAATATCAGTGGGCATTCCTCAATCAGTGGGACAATATAGTGGGGTTTTGTTAAGCCTCATTTCAATTTATGACACGATTTGAAAACATTTAAATCAGTTACAGACAAACTTAGACCACACTTAAGAACACTGAGATTTATTAGAATATTAAGCCCTGTTTTACCAAGTTTGGGAATAAGGATTTCCTAATATCAAAAACCTGAAAATAAATGTTTCCCCTTCCACCCACATATGCTTGCAATTTCAGCAAGGGATGTACCCGAAGGGCTTATTCCTTTATAATTAAAAAAGGACAAAGCTTTTAAAAAGAAGGGAATGGCTATAACTAGTGGGATATACACCCGAGATGGGCTGCACCCAAGAAGTTTGGATCCAGATCTCAATCCCTACCCTCAGGAAGTCTGGGAGCAGAGGGTTTGGGCCCCATCATCACTCACATAAACAGAATACATATATTGAGGGAAGATACATTACTCTCCACATACTAGGGAATAACTGAACTCAGCTGAATAATCCCTTGCTCAAAGAAATTATTAACCCTCATAATGAAACTGCCTTCAACATGAGGAGAGAAAGATTTGCTTTGCTTTTTCATCTTCTCTCATATGCATCTTAGAAGCAAACCAAACAATGGAGACTTTTTATAGCCATCAGGTAGGAATTACTTTCACATAGTGGCTAGTTAGAGCCTTATAAAGTCACAATTTTCTCAAGCACATTCCCTTTTTTGGGACAGGGAGGGAAGGGAGAAGAGGGAGATTAAATGATTCAAGCAAACTCCTTGCGATTTTGTTATTCTTCTTTAGGGAAGAAACAGATATAAGAGGAATCCACTGCCTTTATAAGGAGCTGACATTATGCCCAAGGAGACTTAAAACCATTTTCAGCAAACAGGCAATAAAAGCAACAAGGTGTTGTGGATAGAAGGAATTTCCCTATTTTGCTTAAGTAAGTTTGGTTTTGGTTAGTGGTAACCACAAATATGTACCCGCTGGTTCCCACATACGTTCAACTTCACATCCAGAGCATCAGTCTCACAAGTGTCTCAAAAACCGTATGGCTCCTGGTACAAAATCACGACTATTATAGAAAGAGTCTCAGCAGCAACAGATAGTTTGAGAAGTTCAGTAATTTTAAAATTACCAAAGGGGCCTGACGTAGGTTTGTTCGAATGGGTAGCGTACGGATACATACCAACAGAATTCTTCCAGTTTCAGCTAGGAAACACCTTCTGTGCAGAGTTCTGGACAAAGCCACATTTGAAAAGGCAAATCATCAACACTACAACGCCACAGTAATTCAGCACTGGTGGGAATTTCTGCATGAGTCTTGACTAGACCATTATTTATTCCAATCTTTCCATTTTCTCGTCTTTTCTCCCTGGGCTAACCTTTGAAACAGCAACAACCCTCAGCGCCCTGGGCAAACAGGTAAAACCTATTTGCCCTAGTCAGTCAATCCCCTCTCTGCTCAATGAACCTAAAATAATGAAAATAAATCAACATTCAGTAGGAACAGTGACCAATTTCGGAAGGGGACACAACTACTGTTGTCTCAGCAGCAGATGACAAGGAACTGCTGCTCCCCCAAACACACACACGCCCACAGAGGAGGTCAAAAGACTATTTTTAAGGAGTTGTCAAATGAATAATTGAACCATGGTCTTGAGTGCTTCGGTGAACCATTACCAAACCCGAGTGTGGAGCCAACTTTCCATGCCCAGATGCTACCTTTTTTATTTTTTTTAAAACCAAGAGACTTTTCCCCACTATAAAAACTTCCTACATGACATGCTAATGGGATGGAAAGCACTGATCTGAACCCTAGGAAACAGTAACGTGCATTGGTAATTTGAGGTATCGTCCCATTTCTAGGTCTTACTGCTAAGGTCAATTACAACCAGTAACTGTGCTGTATCCTTAAGGACATTTTTGGGGTATGGTGAACCTGCCAGTAATAAATGAGCACCAGTGCATAAACAGCACATGTGAACACTAGAGCAAGGTTCACGGAGGGGCCACCCTGGTCTGTACGGAAGCAGGAGGTTTATTTTTAACCCCCTCTTTTTAAAAAAAACAAAACAAAACAAAAAATCCTCTTCAAAGGAAGGGGAGGACAATAAAGAGGAAAAAGAAGATAGAAAACACAGGGTCCCCATCTGCCTGCAAATACAGACAGATCAGCTCAGTTAGAGGTGGTGAAGGGAGCAGATGCATTATTGGTACTAGTAGCTGTGGCACCTGTTACTGTGAAGCCTGTGGGAGGAGCTATGGAGCTGTGGCTGGGCTGCAGGTCCTTAGGAATGCCACTGTGTGAGCTCAGCTGATGGCCAAAGGCTGCGCTGAACTGAGGGAGTTGCTGTTTGGGGGAAGTGGAGGCCATTAGTTCAGCAGAGGCAGGACCCATGCCACTAAAACTGGTCTGCGGTAACCCCGGAAGCACACTGGAGCTGTTGGGGGTCACAGTGGCGAAGGCAGGCTGTGTGGTCTCTGAGTGCGAGGTGGTAGGTGGTGTGGACAGGGAGGTGGAAAGAAGGTGTCCATCGGCACCAAGAAGGTTGCTAAACGGAGAGGGGTCACCAAGATTGACAGGGAGATTTCCCCAGTGAGTTCTGGGGTTCACCACCCCGCTAAGTGGCACCTCCAGCTGCGGTGGGAGCAAGTGCTGTGCCATAATGGGCATCTCTGCTGAGAAGGTAGCTGCCAAGTTATCACCAGAATAGGATGTGGCATGGGGGGATGTGATATGGTCGCTGTAGGGAGACGGCACATGCTCACTATCGTAATGGCTTCCATGGGGTGAGGAGTGCGAATGGTCACTGCTGTATTGCTGTCGTGAGGTGATTAGGTCATCTGCCTTGCTCAGCAGCTGGGCAGAGTGTGGCCTCTGGGAGGCATGGCTGCCATCATGAAGTCCATGAAACTGTCCTGGGAAGGCTCTCTCCCCAAGTCCACTCTGGCTTATCAGAGTGGCAGAAGTAAGGCCGACGTTGGCTGGGGCAGAGAATTGCCCCTGGATCTGCCCTGCCAGGGGCGTAGGTGGGTTAGACAAGGTAGCAGAACGGAGCAAGTTCTCATCCAGCTCCAGACTGGAGAAATTATCATGTACTATACGCCCATTCAACAGCTCCCCCAGGTCCGTGTTAACCTCTCTGCTCAAGGACTGCATTCCTGGAGCTCCAGCACCTGTGGTGAACACCCCTATCCCTCTATCTGATAGCTCCTGAACTGGCACACCGTCTGTCTGTGTAAGTACTCCAATGGTACTCAGGCACTCAAGAGAAGTTACAGCCTGCAGAGCCCGTTCCAGTTCCTCCGCCTCTTCGGTAGTAGGAAGGAGGTCTCCATTTTTACCTACAGAAACAGGAACAACAGAAGTTAGTTTACTTTTCAGAGATACGCCTCACACTGTGGCCCTAGGAATACAGCTATCCAAAAAGTTCAATAGGATTTCTACCAGAAAATTATAACAAACTTCCAGAATGGCTAGAGATAGGACTGAAAAAAAAAAAAAAAAAAAAAAAAAAGAAATTCGCGCTGTCTGTCTTAGTTGGAAAAAATTTTCCAAATGCATTTTTTTCAGTGTAAATGCAAAATAATAAGCCTTAAACATTTGCTGGATTTATATTAGCCTATAAAACAGGGGTGGCCAAACTGCAGCTTGCGAGCCACATGCAGCTCTTTTACAGTTAAAGTGTGGCTCACAGAGCCCCCCGCACCCTCCCATTCTCCACCTACCAGACTGGAGTGGGGGAAGCTCGGGGCTTCTGCAAGGAGGTGGGTTGGTGGAGCTACGGGCTTCTGCCCAGTGGGGAGGGAATCCAGAGGCTTCAGCCCTGTGGGAGGCCCCTGCCAGGGCTCGGGGCTTTCAGCCCCGCTCTTGCTGAAGCCCTGAGGACTGGCAGGTGCTTAGTCCTACTACCCTGCTGCAGGGCAGAAGCCCCAAGCAAGCGCACTCGGCTCTCAAACTTCTGAAGATTATTGTATGTGGCTCGGAGGATCAGTAAGTTTGGCCACCCCTGCTATAAAAGCTTAAATATCTTTTCAAAGTGTAATGCCACACAGTACTAAGATCAGTCTACAAAGTCCATTTTGCTTATTATGTTATAACAACTACTTAAAAATGTGGATGGTGTTCTAAAAGACATGTTCTATGAATTAATTCAGGGAAGTTCTATGGCCTGTGTCATACAGGAGGCCAGACTGTCTGAACATAATGGTCCCTTCTGATCTTGGATTCCATGAATAACCTAAATTTTATTAACAGGATTAAAATGCCAAATTCTGATATCACGTCAGCTCAGAAAAGTGACAAAAAGCACAGCAAGAGGTTTCCAAAACTCCTGGTGGTTCTATTCCGAGCCTTTTCCCACTGTTAGTGGGCGCTGAAGTCAAACGCACAGAAATTCAAGTGTATTTCAGCTCACGAGCAAGTTTCACAGGTATTTTTTTAATTTCTGTTTTCCTTTGATAAAAAGACAGACGTTGATAAAATAGGGCTGTAATCCCAGTCACAGAATGATCTCTTACTGAGAATTTGGTTGATGGCAATTGTCAGTGACATGCAGAAGAGCACAAAATCAATGATTAAAATGTTAAATCAATCAGGACTTCCGTAGCACTAAGTATACAAACAAGCAAATAATCACACTAAGTATACAAACAAGCAAATTCTAAAACATGCTCTTCTTAGAGGTCATGTATAAGCAGTAGATGAATGTGCGCTCTTTGTCTAATAGTTCTCTTCCCTGCAAGAAAGCAGGTGAACCCTCAAACGCACATTTTAGACTGTTCATTTCCTCACCTCACTATTTGTATTAACTTTCACATAAATTAAAACAAAAATGTACCTTCAAAGAAATCAAAATCTTGCAAGTCATCAGGCAGCCGTGGTAGGACATCAGAAAAGTCCTCCTGATTCAATTCCAAGTCATGTGGAATGTCTGTGATTTCATTGGCGATGTCATCGGGCAGCTCATCTGTACTCAACTCCGGCGTGGAGGGGCTCCTGGAGAAACAGTGCTGTCAACCACACTCTTAAATCCTGATTTCTCACTACTGCAGCACACTTTACAGAGGGTCAGTTTCAGCTCTCGCCCCCCTGCCCTTTTTATGTTTTAAAATCAACAAGTGGAAAGAATGCCTTTTAGACAAGTTTCATTAAAAAACTCTTCAATTTGTTCTACTAATGACACTTATAAGTTGTGCATCGGCAACAAAACATTTTATCCATTTAGCCGAATCTTTGTTGAGATCTGAAATTAACATTTTCCAATTCTTCCTTTCAGCAATGACAGAGATACAAGACACCTGAAGATGTTCATTTCAGTTCAAACACCTAACGAATTTGGAAGGTCAAAATATTAAGTGGTAGGGAAAAGAAAAAGGCAAGTTCGCCCTTCCTCGTCTAGATTTAGCAGACCTAATTAAGCTCATCAAATTGGAGCCTAATTAAGCTCATCAAATTGTGTCCAGCTTTCATTTAGCCACACTCTGAACAATGTACTGACTCTGCCGCCTTTTCCTATATTTAATTTTTTATTTAAAAAGCTAAAATAAATCAAATGAGCCGCCTCTGGCACTGACCGTATGTGAGAGATCTCCACTGGCAGTGAGATGCTGGTGGGCATGCTGAGGTTCCCTTGGGGCACTGCAGGAGGAATAGGTTTCTGGGGCCTACGTGGTCCCCTTCTTCTTTTCTTCTTGTGTTTTTTGGTAAGTGCAGGTGGCTTCGTTTTTTTCCTGGGTTTCCTCTGCTGCTGGTGCTGAACTTTACGGGAGCTGTCCCCTCTCAAGAAATTATCCTTTTGGAGAAAAAATGAAGGAAGAAGGGACACATTAGGATCCAATGCAACTTTCTTTTCTTGCCATTCCCAAACATTGAGACATAAAGTGAGTGAAGAGAGGATCTTTCTAACGGCCAGCCTGCAAATCCAAGCATGGATATGAAAGCCAAGTTACTTCCTTTCCTCCTCCTGCATCATCACAGAGAACAACGAGCATGTACGTTACACCAATGCAACCTCTCTGGAGGCAAATGAGGTTGCACAAGTTTAATCGAGGGCACAATCTGGGCTGTTTATTACTGGTAATAATGAGTGAGAAAGAACAAACTCAGCTTAATTCTCTGATCGGGTTTGCAGAGCTGGCAGTCAGAAAAAAAACCCCACACTATTTGCATCACCAAGGTACAGCAAATATGGAAGCCCACAGTGTCATTTTCAATGACTGTGTCAGAGTAGAACCACAGTTTAATGCACATAAACTCCAAAGTAAAAGATTTGGAACACCCCAGGTAAGTATTAAAAGAATGAACAATATTGGGGTGACCTGGTGGCAAGGATTTGTGCAGCTAAGTGTAAACCAGAGTTCTAGTCACGTTCCCATTGCTGTAAAGGGCCGAGAGCACTGAAGAGACATAGTAAGTGCTGTAGGACGCAGAATTGGCAGGGGACGCAGGTGCACAGCTGCGGGGCCTTGTACTCCTGAAGAGCAACCCACTGGCCAATTACAAAATGAGCGCCATTGTATAGGCTCTGAAGCAAGTTGGATTCAGTCTTCGATTTTGATTATGATGGTTGTGACACAGGGCTTTGATGTGCCAAGCAAAGGAAAAAATGGGGGACAATCTTCAGGCCTCTGATAGGGACACTGAGGATTTACCTGGAGAGAGAGAAAAACAACAACCTGGATTAAAATGTTAAGGGTCTGCGTTACACCAATGAAACACAAAGGGAACCTCAGAGTTAAAGTGACCCAAAAATATTTTTGAAAAAAATGAAATGACACAGGCTAAATGGCAGCTGGCACATAAATTAACCTAAAAATGCTGCTTTTGGGGGAGGTAGAGATCAGAAAAATCGAGGCTATTGTCTCACGTTCCACTGGTTCCCAGTCTGTTATAATGCTCCAGAATACACCATGCTGCAGGGTCACAGCGACTGCGATACCACAGTCCTAGGCAACCTTAGATATTGTAGCCTGAAACCCTCTCACTAGGTTTTACTATACTATGATTTTATGGAAAGGTCAGGTCAATTTCCATTTTTTTGGGGTAAAATAGCAGAGCAGTTGATAAACCCAGACCAGATCAATAGAACTCCTGATGACCCCAATTTGTGGGAATAGTGACAGCTGCGGTTTATACTTACCATTTTTTTGGCATGTTCTTCGCACAGAGGTGTCTGATGTGTAATGTCAAAAACTGGCACGGAGCACTGCTGCCCATCTGCAAACTTGGCTGTGCAACTTGAGAAGAGCTGCTGAGAATGGTTCAATAGGATATCTATGCGTTTCTGGGTCAGGAGCAACACACCAGACGGTGATGGAGAAATGCCAATATGATAAAAAACAAAGCCTTGAATTCTACCAGTCCATCAAGATGTTATTTTTAATGAGTAGCTTAACTTTGTTATTTAAGTTGAAAGCTAGGTACGGCTCAAACCCAACTTTTCAAGTAACAAATTGCATTGATCCAGATTGCTAAGGATTTTATCATTTGTTATGAAGGGTTCATTGATGCAGCTATTTTGCTAATGAGTTCTTAGAAAGAAGAAGAAGAAAAAAAAAAAAAAAAAAAGGTATTTTTCTTGGAGACTCAATCAATAGTATCAGTTTGGAGCACTGTAGTCAACAGGACTATTTCCTACTGACTGTCCCTATTAAAATATTAAAAAGAGAATTTTTGGTATTTACCTTTCTTTCTCGAGAACACAAAAAGTTTTAAGATCCTTCCTGTTCCTCTGAAAGCAGATATGTAATCAGACTGAAAAGGTCAAATAAATCTAAACTGAAACTTGTGTTTTCAGACGTTCCTGTAAGTCAAATATGTATTTCACAGTGGGGTTTTTTTTCTTTCAAATAACGTTAGCAGCTTTCCTTCTGCCCAGAGTAGTTCATAGTCAAACTGCTGCTACAATCACAGAAGCATGGGGCTGGAAGGGACCTTGAGAGGTCATCAAGTCCAGCCCCCTGAGCTGAAGCAGGACCAAATAAACCCTGACAGGTGTTTGTCCAACCTCTTCTTAAAAACCTCCAACGATGGAGATTCCACAACTTCCCTTGGAAGCTTATTCCATAACTTAACTACCCTGACAGAATAAAAAAATACAATATAGAATAACAAAGGAAAAAGGAAAAACCTAAGGATGGATAAGGCAGGAAACAAGTATCTGAAAATGGTGGAAAGAGACTATTTTCATTCTGGGGGAGAGGAGTGAAGGGGAAAGAAAAGCAAAATCAAAACATTCTCTGTTTCTCTGAACTGGACTTGACACATTGCAGAATAATATTTTTGTGGGAATGGAGGAGGGGGTTGTGTGTGTGTGTGTGTGTGTGTGTGTGGGTGTAACACACACACACACACACACACACACACACACACACACACACAATATACACACTCTCCATAGATTCTTTGGGTGCAGAGCTCTTTTGAAAATCTGACCCCATGTATCTAAGCCTTGTAACTGCCCCACATTTAGGCTCTTGTTCACAGAAATCTGTATTTTTAAGATATAAAATTAGAAACCAGCATTGTATTTTGCAGCCATTGCAAGGACAAGCAACAACATGTCCCACAGAGATGCACTACGTTGGTGGAGGCCAAAGTGCACCATCCAATACCCACCCACACCTGCCTTATTAGCTGAACTTTGCAAGGCCACACAAAACCGTCAGCTCCTTTCAGATACAGACAAAGACGCAGCATGGGACGTAACTTCCCACTGCCCGCAGATAGTAAGTTACAAAAGCCAATTAGCTCATCATGCACAAGCGTCAAAGCCCTTTACAATGTATTACCACCCTCATTTTACAGACAGGGAAGATAAGGTATAGAGAAGCAAAGTGACTTGCTCAAAGTCAAACAGCAGGCTGACAGGCCTGACTGAGAGCCCATGGAGATCTGGAAGCTGAACCCAGATCTGTCCAGTGTGCCTTCCACTGGACCATGGAGCCCACGTTGGATAAGACTGTCAGTGGCCACTGATAGCTTTTGATTTCAACTGACATTAATGTATCTTAAAAATGTATATTAAGAGCCTAAACGGGCAAGGAATAGTCTGTGATTTCCCCCTCTCAGAGGAACTGGTTTTAAAAGCTTTTTATGGTAACTCAGTTTTACACCCAGCACTTTGTGAGACTTTGCTTTTGTCCCGTCCATTTAGATCTTTTCTACCCTTTGCGTTCATTCCCCCACCCTCATCATTTTGCAGCACTCCTTCAGTTCCTAAGGTGGCTGTGAATTCACAGCTATAGTTTTGTGGGGAGGAGGAGAGGGAAGAAAGCTGCGAGAAGATGCAAGTGGGTCTTGTCAGGTAAGAAAGAGTACTTAAAATAAATCATAAAAAAATCATGATAATAATCAGCCTCTTTAGCCTCCAGGTTCAGATATGGAAGCTGGTTTTGACTCTTACAAGGTTCCCCCATACACACACTTTTTGAGGAGAATGCTACACCTCCGCAGATCACATTTCTTTAAGGTTTTCCTGAAATCCCATGCATTCACGTACAGGTTTTTCCTCACCCAGAACTATGTCCTAGGTACTTCTCATTCTTCCCCCGCACAGCCTCATTTAGCAATGCAGGCTATTAGAACCTTCACCATTCATTCACTCTAGGCTACTACTTTACTCCACAGTATTCCTAGTTTCTGCATACACAGCTGAATCCTGTAAGACCATCCAGACATTCTATGGAAAGCTACCATCAACTGCACAAGAGCAGTGCAGAGCACACCCTCCCATCAAAGAATGAGATCATCTGTAAAGCTGCTAGTAGGCACCAGGCTGAGCTCAGGAGGAGTGTAACCGTGTAACTATGACAGATACCAGTAACTTGAACTATGGGTCTTGCCTATGGTGAATAGATCACCTCCCACTACCCTAAATACCTGTGAGCAGACAGACACAAAGCCAAAACGGTTCAGGAGACATTTGCAAATAAGTATTTCTGATACAAAATTATCAGTCACTCTAAAGAATGAAACTTTATCAATGGTGTTTCCTTCCTCAATGAGCATAGAGGGGAGGTAGGAGGATACGTTGAAAACAATGCCTGGTGAATGGAAGGGCCTTGTTAGTGCACTGTTCACCCTTCACAGTTCCACTACATGTTGTTGGTTCTGCATCTCTCTGCTTGGCTTGGCTTGTGCTGAAACAAAAATACATTACAACATGGAGTTTAAAAAAATAAAATAAAATAAAATAAAAATCCACTGCCAGCAGATATCCTGGCATAACAGTAACACTAAACATAGCAAAGTGAATCGTGACACACTGGATACACCTGTGTGGTTTACAGTTCACATCTGTGTAGTTATTTACTCTCTAGAGCTGGATACAGGACAGATGTAAACAAGGGGCATGGTGACATCAGTGTAACAGCATTACAGAATGAGGCAAGCAAGACTTCATCACAACTGTTGTTTGTTTACAGCATCTGACACAACAAGGCCCTGAACCTGATCAGAGACTCCAGGCAAGCAATGTAAATATTAAATGGTAGAACCCAGAGTTGCATTCTCACTGAAATTCACCTCACATGCAGAAGGCTTGCACAAGGCCTAGGCAATGCAGAAGTCCTATGTAAGACCTCAAAATAGGACTGGCCCTTTGCATGGGGTGAATTTCACTTGTATGCATATTATTCTCGACGCTGATTGAAGGTTCTTTGCAGACATTCCGGCTATTACCCTTAGGGCTTCATCAACTGTTTTAAGCTAGATCACAAGGCTGGGCAAAATAATTTTAGTAAATATTATCATCCCCTATGGCCAACATGAAATATTTGGAGTCACAAAAATCAATTCAGTTCCTACACTTTATGAAATTGGAGCAGTGACTATAGCGCTCTACTATTTTGCTAGACTACCCCCGATTTAATTTTTCATTCACTTCTAATTACACAACTAATCTATGTGCTACAGAGTAGACTTTACTTAGGTTACCAAATAATCTGACCAAATTGCATTGAATTAGCCTAATAATTCTGGCAAGGTTTATCACGTAGTTTAAGTTTGAACACATTTATTTATGTATTTATTTTTAAAAGTTCAATTAGAAACCAATTAATAAAACGGAGGTTCTGAGCTATCCTTACAAAATGGGAGCCTTTTCTTCCAGCCTCAACATATCCCTCACCATAAAGCAGAGTCCTTAGTCCTTCTTTACCCCCCAGAGGAGCTAAGAGCACCCCCATGCAGAGTGCTCTGTGTGAAGAGGGTAGATGCTGCTTTAAGCGTATTCCTGCCACCTCCCCCCCCCCGACAATTCTCTTCAGAGTCTCCCAGAGCCACATGCCTTGGTGAATGAGGATAGAACCAGCAGAGGGAAGCTGCTGATACCAAAGACATAACACCAGGATTTGCACAAATATTCTATACAAAGCAACTCCATGCATGACAAGAACTGGAGGGATGTTGACATTATCTAAAAGGAAATCCCACAGAAAGTAACCTTCAGAGTTGTTAGAGGATATTTGTTTCACTGTTGAATCTCATTCAATGTTAGATTGAGTCAAATCTAATCAATTAGGAGAGCTTCTGATGATATGCTAGAAACAGGTAAAGGGAACACAGACTTTAAAAAACAAAAACAAAAAAAAACTGAACTGTTGAGGGAATCTGCAGAGCAGACCATACGTTTCTGTAAAGCATTTAACTAAAAACCCAAGACATGTGGGTGGGTGATCAGTTACAATGACAGAATCAGTAACAAATCAAAAGCTAAAATACTCCGGGTGAAATCCTGACCCAAATGAAGTCAATTAGAATTTTGCCGTTGACTTCACTGGGACCATGATTTTATCCTAAGGAATTAAAATCATGGGCGTGTGTTGCTGAACAAATGATCCATCTTCTACACTGCACAGCTAAAAAATGCCTAATCTTTTAAGAAATAAACCGTGCTTTAATTTACTGTACTCTACAGATAAGATTATTAATGACAGGATAATAATGTCAGTATTATTTTGCCTTCCACGTACAGGATCCATGTGGATATTAAGTTGAAAGTTCAACATTTCAACTTAGCCTGCTTGTTTCACTACTGATTCTCACCCAGCCTTGCCTATGACCGCAGGCAGGTTGGAGTGTATGAGCTCTAACCTGGTCCAAGTGCATGTAGCTCTTCGGAGTTCCTGTATCAGTTGCCCAGCACATTCCGGCTCTCTGCTGGCCGCATGCAGCAAAGCTTTCCGGAGCGTATGCCGGCATTTCTTCTGACGAGATTCTGCCCGCTCCAGGCGGCAGAGGTGCTTATATTTCTGCTGAAAGTAAGTGCAAAGTTGGGTCACCCTGGAACTCCTGCTATCTGCATCATCATCATCTGACCTGTGAAGAAAACACAAAACAGATGGTCTTTTTCAAAGAGAACTAAATTTATAACTCTCTCAGAATTATTCAACAAGCATCTTTCTTCTAATACCACACTTAGCTAAAGGCTAAAAATAGCCAGGGATATGTTCCCTAAGAGAAACTCAACCAATTCAAACTGTGGGAATCCTTTTCAATTTTAAAGGTATTTAATCTTCTTGGTATGTCAATATTAGAGATTACATCAATTTATCTTTGAGTCTGACACATCTAAATGTCTGGAACTTGCTGTTAAAAAGAATATTGTTAACCTTTATTTACTGTAAATGTCTCAGCAAATGAAGTTACAGCTTGATTTAAGCTGCAATTATGGAAAGGAGAAAACACTCAGTTGAAATTGATGGAAGAAAGGTCATGCCAGAGAGAAGCATGGTTGAATTCTAAGAACACGGTACCAGACAGCTGACCTTTCTTCATGGATGATTTTACTGTGTGAACTTTTTTCTCCTATTTCCTCAGAAAGCTGGCTCCAAGTTCTGCTCTAACCTGCCCTGGGTTTACACCAATGAAATTCCAGTGACTTTAATGAAGTTACTTCAGCTTTACATTGCTACAAATACGATTCGAATCTGGCCTCTGATATTTGCTACCCAAATTGACAGGCACTTATGTTGTTCGCAGTGTTACTGTAGTTGTGTTGGTCCCAGAATATTAGAGAGAAAAGGAGGTGAGGTATTATCTTTTATTGGACAAACTTCTGTTGGTGAAAGAGACAATCTTTCGAGCTTATGGTCTTATGTAACTCTGGAGTGAAATCCTGGCCTCACTGACTGCAGGGGCAAAATTCCCATTGACTTCAGTCCGGCCAGCATTTCACCCCTGGTGAATCAGAATAACTCCAAAGTCCATGTAGATGCATCCACCTGTATCAGAGATGAATATTTTCCCTTTGTCTTTAGTACATTGGGCAATTTTTTAAGTAGTAAAACTAAGACGCTAATATTAAAGACCATAGCTGACTTCCCTGTTATGTGCTATTATGATGAGATACAGTTAAAAATCACACACAAAACACACAGTTATGCATTAGGTATTTAGTTAGAAAGCAGAGTTTACTACAGGGTAGTGAGAGAGGGATCTGGGTAAGCCTATGCAAGAAACGGAGTAGAAGCATGAACTGGGAGCACCCAATCAGTCAATCCCCATTTACTCAGGAAGGTTTTCTCCTTTTATTTTCTTTTTTTAAATGGCAAAGCACACACACCATAAAAATACCCAAACCTGCCAAACATGCTCGGTAGAAGTAATAAAAATCATCACTGGGACTTTTTTAAATCTAGGATCTCTCATGGTACCAAGCAGTCAGCTTCACCCTGATAACACTCAGCAAAACAAGGTTTATGACCAAGGAGCACTGGAGTGAATTTATTTCAGATAAGACTTTCTCTGTTCAGTCTTCTCTGGAGAAAATAAAACTTGGCAATTTTTGCTAAACTTACCAAACCTAAAGCAAAGAAGTTAAAAACGAAGGTACAAAGTGCAGAGCTTGATCAGCAGAATCAAATACATTGAAATCCAAGGCCTGGTCTACACTACCCCCCCACTTCGGACTAAGGTACGCAAATTCAGCTACGTTATTAACGTAGCTGAATTCGAAGTACCTTAGTCCGAACTTACCGTGGGTCCAGACGCGGCAGGAAGGCTCCCCCGTCGATGCCGCGTACTCCGCTCGCCGAGCTGGAGTACCGGCGTCGACGGCGAGCACTTCCGGGATCGATCCGGGGCACTTCCGGGATCGATTTATCGCGTCTTAACCAGACGCGATAAATCGATCCCAGAACATCGATTGCCTGCCGCCGGACCCTCCGGTAAGTGTAGACGTACCCCAAATCTCTGAACAACAAAGAGTATTGCAAAACTATATAATGACAGCCTGGATGCTGACCATCAACTGCAATATTTATTAAATAAAAGAAGATCCAGAATGTCAGAGTGGTAGGTGCTCCTCTAAGAGAAGGGGATTCAAATTTAATTTCTTTCATGGAAAAACTTGTGCCAAACATTCTCAGTTTAGATGTAACAGTTCCTCTCTGTTTGGGAAGGCCTACTTAATACCCATCAGAAAAGCCCATAAAAACTCCAGTGAGAAAGCACGATCATAACAGAAATATAAATCTACCTATATATTTTTATGAGAAAAACTGACCAGGTTATACACTTTTCCTATTAAATGCAATACATATTATTCTCAAGAAACAGCCATTACAAAAACTTAACCAAATATATCCACTGCTAATTAATAAATGGAAAATATTATCAGTTAATATAACGAACAGTATCCCTTAATACACCACTACCTCGATAGAATGTGACCCGATATAACACGAATTCGAATATAATGCGGTAAAGCAGTGCTCCAGGGGGGTGGGGCTGCGCACTCCAATGGATCAAAGCAAGTTCAATATAACGCGGTTTCACCTATAACGCGGTAAGATTTTTTGGCTCCCGAGGACAGCGTTATATCGAGGTAGAGGTGTATATTTAGATAATGATTATAACAAAAATAAGAATGCAATGAATGGGTTAAAATGGCAATTTGATCAATATACAGAATTGCATGGCTTTTTAATTATTTTCTCTTTCTTTCTATTTTAAACAACAAGCATGGGGGAGGAAGATGGGTGGGAGTGAGTAGCCTCTCCTTCTATGAGGCAGTCAACACAAAAATATGTAATACATACATATACTTATAAGCTCCTAATATTTATATTACTTAAAATAAAATTATTCGCAACTGAGCATTATCATTAGAGAAAGGAAACAATCTGCGTTAGAAAGTGAAAGTGGTTTTGAAAAGGTTTTGCTTTCTGATTTGAGTGGCCGCCTTTCAGAGAATGTCTTTACAATTATAATAAACCTTTGACTCACCTCCCATTGAGCTGAACGTAGAAAGGTCAAAACATGTATAACTCCTTTTGACTGATGAGTTATGAGATAATTCTGAAAATCACAAGTTAAGAGGCACACAGAGGCCCAGAAAGTACTGCAGAAGTGGCTCTAGTATTTTCTGGGAGACAACCAAGTTTTAAATACTACTTAGGACTTTCACTTCCAAGCAAGACTAGCCAAAACATATTTATACATCCCGAGAGACTTTAAAATAGCAGAGTCACATCTACATTTTTTGTGTCAAAATTTCAAAAACACATTTTATTTTCACCCTTCTATGCTGAGTTGTTTAACCAAATTACATTTGATTTATTCTCATTAAGCATGTGTAACAGAGTACTATGAACCAGGATTTAAACTCTGGCATTTCACTTTTAAAGTATTGCTGAAACTGCATGGAAGTCGTTCAATAAACAACCTAACATGCCATCTTTCTTAAATAAGTGAAACTGTGACGGGGTGAACTAGGCCCGGAGGCCCTTGCCATACGCATCCCAGGAAAGGAGCAATGGAGAGGTCCTCCAAGCAGGCTAGAGTGGCTGCAAGGGAAGCAGCCAATCAGAGCGGCTGCAGGGAGCAGCCAATCAGAGCGGCTGCAGGGAGCAGCCAATCAGGGCCTAGGAGGCTCCTATAAAAAGGAGCCGCAGCACCAGAGACAGGCAGTTCCTTGCTGGAGCTAGAGGAATAAAAGAGAGTTCCTGGCTGGCCAGAGGGAACTGTAGCACAAAGGACAGCTCAGTGCTAGTAGGGATTGGGGGAACGAGGAAGTGCTCCTGGACCTGAACACAGAAGAGCCCTGAGCTAAGGGTAAGGCGTCGGTGAAGGCTGGGGGCGCGGGGAAGTTGCCCAAGGAACTGAAGGCAGTTTTGCTAATGAGACACAGTGGTGTGTGGCTGCTATTCTTAGGGTCCCTGGTTTGGGACTTGGAGTAGTGGGTGGCCCGCCTCCCCCCCCCCATAGGCTAGTGGGGAAGGGCCTACAATTGGACAGTAGTAAACCCCCAGAAGAGGGCTGAACTGTCAGTAGGCCCAGCTGGAACCATTGCCTCCAGGGAGGACGCCCTGGGGGTATGGCCCGATACCACGGCCGAGAATGGCTTAAAGATCACGGCCACACCTGACCAGAAGGGGGTGCTCACAAGAGATGGGTGCCACGCCATTACAGGCATGTTCAATGGCATGTACAATTCAGATGTGTTTAACACTGAAGGAATAAATTTTGGCAAATTACCACGAAAAATGAAAAGGGCACTACCCTATAGAAAGGAAGAGCAAACAGGTGGTGTCCACCAATCCAGTACTGCTAAAGTCAACAAAGGGAGCCTCGGAGAGTCCCTAGTGTAAAAAATGTCAGACTGCTGGAAAAGGTATCCAAACTAGTTTAGAGGGAGCTCTCTGATTTTAGGCGAGCCAATACTCAGTAATCCAACATACAGAATGTCCTCTGTTTTTAAAGTGCTGTGATAAACAGCTTCTCTTCAAGCCAATGAAAAGTTCCTGACTTGAGATTAGACGTGAAATTGATGCATATGCCATAACCCAGTGGTTCTCAAACTGTGGACCCTTTATTGGTGAGAAACAAGAAATGTGGAGTTGGGAGGAGTCCTTAAGACGGTTCTCTCTTTCATAAGGCAGCATTCAGAATAAAATGAGCGGGAAAAACTAATAATCCCAGCATTACCACCGTCATATCTGCAAAAGATGACCTAGGCCTAACTGCATTCTCTCCATATGCAGCCATACTTTGCCAACTGAAGCTCTCTGCTAGTTGCTATTGCAGCTTCTGAGGAGGGTTTTAATGAAGACTCTTATGTGGGGGTAAAATTTGGCAGGGGAGAGAACAGGGCATGCCAAGTAGCATGAAGAAACAGACAGGACAAAGGTGACTTTCTCTACAGGGTTTGCCATTGACTAGCTCAGTGTAGTGACCTCTTGTGAATTATTTGCAAAGCCACCACACTACAATGGAAGTGAAAGTATAAAGTATTTTTTAATTGGAAAAAGTCATCCTGCTATTGGAAGTAACAAACAAAGGAACCACCCTTTGTACTGTTGTTCTTTACTACAGAG